ATTGAAAATATAGGGAGAGTATCAATGCTATGCCTCATGTTTTATACTTTGTTTCTGTGAAACAATTAATAACTTAATTAAAGCAATAAGCCAACCCAGTAATTGAACAGATAACTATTTCAAGAAAATAATAAGCTTGAGAATTCCTACCCAATGTTTTAGAGTTGTTCCTATGACTCCTACTGCCACAACAGTGATATTGGAGTGTGATGGACTAATGTTTAACATTAAAAAAAACACAGCTGGTATTTATTTACTTATGCTGTCACTATTGATTGAAAATCATTTTTTAAGACATTTATTTACCATATAATTGGAAAATGTAAAGGACTGTGAGAATGTAAGTTCTAGAGAAGACTCAGAAGGACATCAATGTTCAGGTAAAAATCATATTAAACAGTTGGGATATGTTTGCATACTAAACTATTTGAAAAAGCATTAATACTTTATAAAAACTTTCCAGTAATATTTCAGAAATATTCCTCTATGGTATACTTTCGCTTTACAACAACAATGCAAGTTTTTCTTTGCAGTAACTGAATCTTGGAATTTTTCTCTGTGTCTACTTCCCTTTTTGGAATTCCTGTTATAGATAAAATACATTTAAAAATCAACATAATGATAGAATACTCATTTCAATTAAAAGATATGTGATATTTAAATATATGAAGTAACTGAAAAAGCTAAACAAAGAGCTATAAAAAAATACAGATTTTATGTTCTCCTTAAATTTGCTTCCTTGAATTGGTTCAACTTTATTTTACTATTACCAGAAACTTCAATTTAAAAATCCCAAAGTGGACTTTCATTATGGGATCAAAATAAGGGAATTCATAGTGACTTGTGCCACTTATTTCAGTTTATGTTAGAATGAAACATTAGTTTATAGTAGGTCATGGAGGAAGGGAAGACATGAATGTTAAATACCTAAATTCTTGGGTATAAGAACTCAATATCTTAATTAAATATTAAACATTAGATGTCAGATCTTGGTGATGCCAGGGTTCTTGTTCACGAAGCCAAAGAATGAGCTTCACAAACAGTCAAGGTAGGAGAGCAAGGTACAGGCTTTTATTTAGAGATAAAGGGAACCACAGAGCTCCTGGCTCATGCCAGAAGGGGACAAGAGAGTCCGTAGTGGTGCGTTGTCTAGGGGATTTTATAGGCAGTTGAGGATTTTTCGAGAATGTGAAAAAGAGTTTAGGGGTGTGGACTTGTTAAGTGGTCCCTGAATATTAAAAATTAACATAAGGAATTTCCTGCCTTGATTTCTCTCTGGGACACTGGTGCCTTGGTCTGGTAGCACATCAAAAGGCTGCCTGCCCAGCCCCCAAGGGGGGCTGAGGTATTGCCTATTTGCTAAAGAATCTTGCCTCTTGAACTTCCTGGGTGTTAAAATGTAATCTTATCTTTAAGATGGAATTCTTCCTACCCTTTACCCTGCCATCTACAGCTGGGTCTGCAGCTAAATTAGTTGCTCAATTTGCAAAATTACCTCATCAGATCTGAAGGAGGAAAGACAGCACGTAGGCCTGGGCCTTTTAGTATGCTAAAGTGAATCTTACACATGGTTACAAATGATTAGCATAATAAAACATACTACTATTCTTTATCTGGGGAGCATTAACTGATTTCATTGAAGAATGATTCTAGAGCTTAATGTTTAACAGAGTTTTAGTAGGGGGGTTTCCTTGCATGTAGTTACATTGTGTGAGGGGCTGAAGCAGTTTCAGACATAAAAATAGGACCCAAAGCTCTCTGTAAAGTTAGCCCCAGACCCTAGTCAGGTACCAACTTCTGAGAAACTAAAGGAAAAGATATAAATCCCATGAGAAACAGGATGTTCAACTAACCACACTATTTTTGCTTCTATACATTGCTTTGTTAGAGACCAGTAGTAGCACACGTTTCCTGCAGCATGTGGGCAAAGCAGGATGCTTAAGCCCCCTGAGCATTAAACAAGGAATATAGCTTACTGTATTTAGGCGAAGGCAGAAGAGTTGCAAAAAAACTAAGCAGGATGTGGTAAAAATGCTTAAAAGGATGTTCTAACAGGGGCTCTGGCTGCACTTGGAGAGCTCGCTCCTTGGCAGACGCCAGCCGGCTGAAATAAAGGCTCCCTTTTTATAATCTACTCTTCTGTGAGGACCTATTTCCTTACTCCTACTCCGGCGTGCCGATCTGAGACCCATAACAATTGCTGTGACTGCAAATATCCCGCCCTGCCCCCTCTGGAGGCCCTCACCTTACTCTGACTACATCTACGGTCCCTGTCTCATTGGTACGTCTATTATTTTGGTCATTTTTCACAGGTTAGGCATAAAATGGTATCAAATTCATTTTAAGTAAAGTGATATCCATTGAATAACACTTAGCAAACAATTACTGCGTGTTTTAAGGTAAATCCATCAAATAATTTAGGAATATTAAGTATTAGTACTAATTCTCAATATTAAACTAATTTAAGTCATTTATTATTATTACCCATCAGATATCTGTTGAGGTCTACAAAATAATATTTACCTTAGTGTTCAATACATGCTTTATAGGAAATTTAGGTATATTTAATCACAGTAGGAGATGCAGTCCCTCCCCTGTTGCCATTTAGAAAATAGAATGCTTTGTTTTTTTATTTTTATTTACTTTAGGCATGCAGTGTGTCTGTGTCATGAATAACTCATTTTTTAAAAATATTGGAACTGAGGAAATTCACTGAGAAAAAAAAAAGCTCTCTTATTAATTTTTCCTCTTGACCATCAACATTCACAGATGTTTAAAAAATCTTTTACATGTATATACGATGGAACACTATGAATATAAATATGTTTGCATATATACACGTGCATAGCTATATAGTTGTGCCTGGTATACAATTTGAAATATAGGCAAATATGCATAATGTTAAAAACATTTGAAATTTCTGAGTTAAATTGTTTACTTCAACATTCCTCAAAATGATTGTAAATAATACAAATAAATGTTTTTTTAACATGGGGATTGGTTAACAAAAATCATTTTTAATCTCGCAACTTAAATAATATTTTTATGTTTGAAGAAAAGTGCTGTACATTTCATTATTTACAAAAAATAAACAAGACTGACTTTCATTTTTACTTAATCTTTGTTTTATTTACAACTCTACCTTTTTTTCACCTGCAAATTTACTTTTAAGAGTTCACATATCTTATATCCCACATGGATTTAATTCAGTCTATATTTTTATGGTTATGTTATTCAAAAACAAGTTAACCATATATTTTGCTAAAAATTAAAGGGCTTTGTAAAGAAATCAAGTTTCTTTTTTTTACAAAGTCTGTTGAAGTGGTCTGAGATCTGAACCAAGAATAATCTGGTTACTTATTTTTTTATCACATTTGGATCATGTCTTACTTCTGATTAAAGCTATGCATTCTACAGCTTTTTATGAGATACATGAATGAAAAATAGAGTCAAATGAAGAAAGGGATTTTCAAATAGTATAAACAAATAGTATAAACAAAATACTGCATCACTAAATTTCAGTTAATATGAACTAAGGGACAATTTATTAATTTTTTGGAAATACAAATGGAATGTGGTTTAGTATAATAAAATGTCTCTGTAGTTCTATGACACCATGTTTTCAATATTTAACATTTCACAGAGTAATTTTTAAAAGGAGGAAGTAGTACATATTGTCTGATTTTTTATGGCCCATTAATTTATGAATTTTTTAAGTACATGTTTATGTTTATATATATTATATTTTACCCTCATTAGAATAAAGCACCTAAAAGGCAATATTTCTGTTTCAGTAAAACCTCTGTTGTTTGAACAGTTTTTGAATGATTTTGAGTAATCAGTAACAAATGGTTGAAAGAGTAAGATTTTAGCTTGTACTTATCACAGGTAGGCAAGAGCTTTATTTTATCCCTATACAAAATTCATGAATTTAAGGTGGTAGTCATCCCTTTTAGAGCTAGTTTCCTATAAAAATATAAGCATGGAAAATAATGTTAGTAAACAACCATTTATCTTGCCCTGTTTTCAATAATTATTATCAATGCACTTAGTAATAAATTACAAAAAGTTGTGGATGCATTTTTCATGTATTTGTATTTTTATTGAATTGTATGCAATATATTAATTTCAGATGTGCAAAATAGTGATATATTTTTAAGTATTATGAAATGATCACCATGAACTAGTTAACACTTGTCACAGTAAAAAATTATTAAAATATTATTAGCTATAATCCTTATGCTGTAAATATCCATGTAATTTAATTATTTTAAAATTGGAAGTTTGTACCTCTTAATCATCTTCAATTATTTTGCCCATCACCCATCCCCAACCCTTCCAGGAAACAGCAGTTTGTTCTCTGTATGTATGAATCTGGTTCTGTTTCATTTCTTTATAACTTTGCTAGACTTTATAGATTCCACATATAGGTGAAATTATATAGTATTTGTATTTCTCTGACTTATTTTACTTAGCATAATGTTATCTAGCAACATCTGTGTGGTTACAAATGGTAATATTTCATTCTCTTTAATGGCTGAGTAATATTTCATTTTATAAATCCTGACCATATCCTTATCATTTACTATATTTTTAATATAATTTATTATATATTTAAATATATAGATATTATATATAAGTATATAATTATGTATTATATGATATATATTTAAATTTGTATTTTAATTAAATCTTTATTAAAATAATAAAACTTATGGGCTGTATGTTATTGATATAGTTTGAACAATGAATAGCATAATCAGACAAGGGATCAGAAAACCCTACCCTTAGCATTTTGCGATATTAACTACTCAATAGTAGTAATAAACTGAGGAGATCAAGATTTTATAATGAAAGACATTCCATATATACAAAGGTCAACTTTGTAAAGTGTAAGGAAACATGTTTAAAGAAAATATTTAAGGTATTTTATATTTTTATGGGTCATATCTTTCATTTTTATCCCTTTTGCTTTCCAGGTCAAACATCATTTCTAGGAAATGGCCAATTACACCAAAGTGACTGAGTTTCTCCTCATGGGCTTTGCTGACAGGTGGGAGCTAAGGTTCTTGCCCTTCATGCTATTCCTGCTGATGTTCCTGGCCACCCTCACAGGGAACTTTCTTGTTGTCAGTGCTGCCACTCTTGACAAGAACCTTCACACACCCATGTACTTCTTCCTCAGGAATCTGTCCGTCTTAGACATGTGCTACATTTCTGTCACCATCCCCAATGCCTGTATCAACTATGTCACTAATAACTGGGCCATTTCAATGGCGGGGTGTGTGACTCAGATCTTCTTGGTCATTTATTTTGCATTTGTGGAGCTTCTGCTCCTCACCATCATGGCCCGTGACCGCTATGTGGCCATCTGCCAGCCCCTGCACTACTCCATCATTATGAACCACCAGTTCTGTGTGCAAGCGACACTATTTTCACTACTCAGTGGTCTTGCCTACGCAGCTGTGCACACAGGTAGCACATTCCGGCTGTCCTTCTGTCAGTCCAACGTGGTCCATCAGTTCTTCTGTGATGTCCCCTCTCTGCTGAGCCTCTCCTGCTCTGACACCTTCAGCAATTTCCTCTTACTTACGGTTTCTATTGTTGCGGTTGGTGGTAGTTGCTTTATTTTTATTACCATATCATACATTCAAATATTTTCCACCGTGTTGAAGTTTCCACCCAGAGAGCGAGGCAAGGCCTTTTCCACGTGTGTCCCTCACATCCTGGTGGTGTCTGTCTTCCTCAGCTCTATTGCCTCCGTGTACCTGAAGCCTTCAGCAACTTCTGAAACCATCCAGGGCATGATTCTTTCCATATTTTACACCATAGTTCCTCCTTTCTTGAATCCCATCATCTACAGTCTTAGAAACAAACAGGTAAAAGAAGCTGTCAGGAAAACAGTATTTTTTTTCCTGGAAAGTAAGAGTTCAATTTCAGGTTCATCCCAAGTCACTGAATGATGTACAAATTTCTAGAAAACAACTGTCTTACTGAGTTTTATGTATTAGGCTGCTCACTATAAAATCACTCATTTAGTATCTGTGTAATTAACTTATAAAATTTATTTTGTTTTATACTACCCCTTCCATTTATCATTTGTAATACAAAATATTCAACCGTTGGTTTTAATGATTGGATATAACCATAGATATTGATAGCATCATTTTAGATATATGTTTAGGATTCAACAAATATTAACAATACCAATAATGCCTCAAAAGAATCCTAAGAAATGAAGTATGCATATGTATGATAGGCTCTATTATGTGAATTTATCCAACGAAATGTGAAATAAATATATAAATAATATTGTCTTAAATTATAGGAATTTATGCATTTGGATATTAATAATTATAGTTCATGACATATAATCTAACAAGATATAGTTCATGACATATCTGGAATTAAAACTATATAAATGATTGTGGGGAAAATAGAAGTTCATATGTCCAGGATCCTCACCTGACCCTAAAGTACTTGATGATATACCCCGCCTACTGTTAGGTTAATGCTCCCATACTCTAGGCGATGAGCTATTACTGACTGAGTCACTATATAGAGCTTTGCCCAGTGCTCTGGGTAGAGGCAGAGACAGAGGTGGATTACAGACCTGCAGACTGCTGGGTGCAGATGGGATTCTAGTGCTCAACCTACTGCCAGGATAATAAGGAAGGAATAAGTCCTTTTACCCAGAAGTGTCCCATTGTCATTCCTCAGTCTCACTGAATCCGTAGTGAACTTGCCCAGAGCTGAAACCCATCGGCAAGACAATATGTACGCAGAAAGTGAAAAAAAAAAAACATCTATAAAGAGAAAACTAAGAGAAGTGTGATTTTACCCTCCTGATTAATAGGAGTGAAAAATTTTCCTATTTGTTGATAGAAACCATCATGTCCTTTGTTTGTGGTTTGCAATTATTTTATTATACCATCGTTTAAGGGATAAACATTACTGTGTGGACACAGGTCATTGTTCTTTAAACTCACTGTAAATTTGTTACTTCTTGTATATTTTCTGGGCGTCAGACCCTTCCACAATTCTTCAATGATGATAAAAAATTAGGTTACTTTTCGTGACACTATTAAGCTTTATCTGTACACGTAATCTAAAATCTTTTGTAATGATTCCCTTGTCTTGGATGGAAAAGTGAGTCTTCCCTAAATTTTTTTTCTAAGCTACTATATACTTTTTCCTCATTCACAACCACTGTGGCACAGACAAAAGACTAACTTACACAAGAAGTTTAGATATTAAACACATTTGTTTAAAAGCCATGAATATGAGAGAGAAGTAGAAGAGATGGCAGAGTAGGAAGGCAAGTTGGAAAACTCCACCCACAAACGCACCAAGGAATTGGTAAGAGCAAATTCAACTAACACTGAAAATGACCTGGAGACTGCAGAGCATACCATCTATACCTGGTAAAGAAGACCACACTGAGAAGTGTAGAGTGACAGAGCTGCAATCAATCAGGACCCAATCCCTTTTCCCATCTCAGCCCACAGCTGGGAGGGAGAGGAATGGAGCTGGAAAGGGATAAGCACCCAGGAATCATGCACACCTGGTCCTGGAGATCTGCTCTGGGAACACAGTCCACATTCCATTCCATTTGGCTTTGGTGATTAATGGGGCTGGACACCAGGGAGAGTTGAAGCCTCTGAGAGGCTGAGACTCCTGTCACTTGTGGAAGACAGGCACACTCTTGGGCTGTGCTGAGACCCAACACAGAGGCAGTAGTTTGAAAGATTTACCAGGAGTGGAAAGTGTGCCAGAGTGGAGGGGGTTGGAGGGAGCTCAATCTGGAGGAGAAAGTGCAGGTGGACATTGCTTCTCCAGGTTTCCCTCAGCCCGCCTGGTCAGGTGCTCATGGGAGTCAGAACAAACCAAGCAGAAGCACCTCCTGGCACACAAAGGACAGCCGAAGTGAGATGTCAGTCCCTATTGACAGAGATCAGCTCCTGCTGGCAGACAGGCAGAAAGGTGGCCCTGCCCACAAGCCACCAGCAGCACCTGGGGCTCCACCACAGGAGAAGCAGGCATCAGTGAGAAAAGTCCTGAGCTTCTGGGCACCTCAGGATGCCTTCTTCATGAAGCCATTACTTCCTAGACCAGAGGCATGAAGGGTTCATCTAATACAAAGGAAGAAACACAGAAACCCAGAAAAAAGGAGGAGGCAGAGGAATGTGTTCCAAGCAAAAGAACAAAATTAAATAGGAGAAAGAAGGCTAAACAAAGCAGATCACCAATCTTCTTGATAAATATTTCAAAGTAATAGTCATAAGGATGTTTAGTGACCTGAGAAATGTATTCATTATGTCAGTGAGAACTTCAACAAAGAAATAGAACATTTGAAAGGGAACAACTCAGAGCTGAAGAATACAGTAACTGAAATGAAATATAGAATGGAGGAAATGAATAACAGGTTGCTGCAAGTAGAGGAGGCAGTCAATGAGATGGAAACTAGAAAACAGGAAAACAACCAAATTGAAGAACAGAGAGGAAAAGGATTTAAAAATATGAGAAGATGCTAAGAGAGCCTGTGTGACAACTCCAAATGAAACAATATTCACCGAGTAGAGGTCCTGGAAGGAGGAGAGACAAAGGAGTAGAAAGTCACTTTGAAGAAATAATAATTGAAAACTTCCTCAGTTTGAGAAAGGAAATAGACATCCAGGTTCTGGAAGTGCAGAGAGTCCCTAACAAAATGAACACCAGGAAGACAACACTAAGACCTAGAGTTATTAAAATGGCAAAATTAAAGATAGAGAATCTCAAAAGCAGCAAGAGAGAGGCAGACATTTACATATAAGGGAAACTCCTCAGGCTATCAGCATATTTCTCAGACATCTAAAGGCCAGAAGGGAGAGGCATAAAATATTTAATGTATTGAAAGGGAAGAAAGAATCTACAACCAAGAATCCTCTACCCAGCTATTCAGAATTGAAGGAGAGATTAAATTTTTCCCAGATTAACAAAAGTTAAAAAATATTCACCACCACTAAACTAGCCTTACAGGATATGCTAAAGGGACTCCTGTAGATAGAAATGTCCTTAAGCCTAAATATTTTTCATCAGTGAAAATAAATCTACAGTAAAGATAGTAGACCAATTACTTACTAAGCAAGTATGAAGATAAAAAGAAAAGACAAAAGTAGTAAAATTGACTATACAGGAAATAAGCCAATGGATACACCAAATAAGCAGATTATGACATCTTATAACTAAAGTGAAGAGGAGGAAGATGAATAAAAACGAGGTACTTTCCCATTGTGCTTGAACTAGATTGACCATCAACTTAACATAAATTCATATATTTAGGAAACTATAATCCCTAGAATAACCACAAACCTAAAGCCTATAGTAGAAACAAAAATGTTTTTTAAATGAATCCATAACACTTAAGGAAACCATCCCCAGCTGCAGTGAAAGGAAGATCGCTTAGGTCTGCTCAGGAAACCCCCACCAGGAGAAAGTCAGAAGCAACGACTCAGGTGTCTCAAGATGAAATGTTTTTACAACTCCTTTGAAGTGGATTTCCTAGAGAACAAACTGATGGGGTCTCTGCTAAGGAGCTGTGGGATATGCATAAAAAGGGCCAGGTGTTCATAAAGCAATAACAAAAATGCTCATTGCTCTCTATTTCCCAAAGGGCTGATGACTCCACCCACATTTCCACTGGAATCAAACCTTGTTAGCCTTGACCCTGCTGAGGTGTGGCCCTCAGCCACCCACTAAAGGATTTGATTCTGACAGTTCTCTATTTGAGTGGCAAATAGGAAAAGCCCCTGTTACCTCTTGGGCCTGATGTAATATGAGGTCCATATAAAAGTTGTTATATATTGGCAAAATGGATCTAAATTACTAATGAGGGCTTTAACAGGTACAGGGGTGGAAGCCTCATTAATCTACAGGAATCTTAAATGGTTTAAAGGAGAAAAAGTAATAATAACTGGATTAGGAGGCAAATTCAAGCTACTCAAACCCAAGTAATGATGAAGATAGGTCAATTGCCTTAATAAAAAGGTGTACTGTCATTATATTTCCTACTAGAGAATTTATTTTTGGTATTTATATATTAACAGGAATGACTCTTACTTTAGAAAATGAAATGATCAGTTTGGAGCAAAATTGCCAAAATATGCTTATCCTATTTTGGTAGGAAAATTGCTAATGAACCCTGTTGACATTCCCGCTACTTCTGTGATAAATTTAAAACAATATAGGATACCTGGAGGGCAAACTGAGATTTCTAACATGATTGCTGACCTTGTAGATACTACTAAGTGGAAGAATCCTGAATGACCTGTAAAAGTGGTGATGGATCTTGGAGAATGATGATAGATTATAGATCTCTAAATAAAATAACTCCACTCCACACTGCTGCCATGCCTGACACTGTAACTTTAATAGAAAGGATTTAGGTGCATCCTGGAATTTGGTATGCTGTAATAGATTTAGCAAATGCCTTATTCACCAGTCCTATAAGTAAGGAAACCTGGGAACAACTTGCCTTCAGTTGGAAAGGTAGACAATTTACTTTCACTTGCTTGACACGAGGATATATCCATGGTCCCACAGTTTGCCACCAGAACATGGCAGAACACTTAGATTCACTCCTGCTGGCTTCCAGTGCACAGTTAGCCCATTACATAGATGATATTTTGCTTCAGGGCCACACAGAATCACAAGTACACAAGGCTTTAGAAACATGTATTCAACATGAAAGCTAAAGGATGGGAAGTAAGTTCCTCAAAAACTCAAGGGCTGGCTCAGAATGTAAGGCTTCTTGGTGTTCAGTGGTTCAAAGGACTCATGTCACTGTTTCATATGACGCAGGTAACAAACTGCCACCTTGAGCGATGGTATAACTCTCCTACTGATGAGCAGGCATGGAGACATACACCCATGTGACTGCAGGTGAAGAGGAACTTCAAAGTTTGGCAATATGGGCCCATCAAAA